GCTACTGCTGTGCTTGTTTTACAGACCCATACTCTGGGGGCACATACAGACCACAGCCAATCTCTGCAGCTGGGCCTGGAAGAGAGTTCATGGGTTTGATTCGAAATAGATTTCTTTAGCCATGTAACTTGGGTTCCAGGGCTAGCCTACTGAATGAATCCTGCAAAGCAGATACCACCGCTTTGATTTTGTTATTGTTATTATAGCTCTCCATCTTCTTTGTATTCCTTTTGGATAGCTAAGCTGCCTGTTCTGTTGCATTTATTATCTCAAAAGCAAAACTTCTATTCAGATTGGAGAAAATATAAAAAAATACATTTTAAAAATTACTTTGACTTTCTTGTATTCAAGGATTAGAAGACATTAATGCAAAGATTTTCTTTGGTAAGTTTGAGGTTTTGGTTTAATTAGTTTTAAAAATGAATTTAGAAATCTGTTAAATAAAAAATAATGGAAACTTAAAAGCTGTATTGTATAATCATGATAATTATTATGTCATAGCTGCACTGTTGCAAGAAGGTGATTCTTGCTTGATTCCTGAATAATTTACTTATTCTCAGATGATGTTTCAACTGCTTACTGTGCCTGCTGAATCACAACTGACTTTGTGCTACAGTCTTTTGTGTTACAGAGTGACTGGGAAAGTGCCAGCAGTGCTTAACAGCACGCCACGTCTATTGGTTTGCACCCCAGTCACGACAAAACATAGCCATTACCTAACTGATTCTGCTTGGCTCTTTAACTTGCCTGGAAGCTGAAAAAAAAAGTGTTCATGGGCTCCTTTAAGAAAATCCCAAACATTATCTGCAGCTGGGAAGAAAATAAAGAAGACCAAATTGGTCATGATATTAAAGGAAGTTCTGTCCAAATGCAAATATGGTTACAGCACCGGGTGGTATAACTACAGCAATTTTTTTGAAGATCCTTTTTGAAGCGGCATGAAAAGGCTGAACAAATGGTGCAGGTGGGAATTTAAACCCAACTTTATCAGCTGAATTCCTGAACCCAAACTTGTGCGAATTCCAATTCAGTGACACTGTGTAATGAGGCACATGTAATCGTGCTTGTGCCTGCTTGGTCAGAGGATCACTGTGCTCTGGGATCCTGTGTGCTGGTGTGCAGGGAGGAGTTCAGCTTAAGCTTAGGGTTCACCACACTGCTGGGTTAGCATCCAGACTTGAACTTCAGTGGGATTGCCCTTCCCTTCAGAAAGGCCTAATGCTCTAATGTTCCATAGTTAATACTAAAATGCTGCGTAAAATACCTGCAAATAAAACAGATTTCTGTAGAATCATAGAATGGTTTGGTTTGGAAAGGGCCTTAAGATAACCCAGTTCCAACCCCCCTGCCATGGACAGGGACACCTCACCCAAGGTTCTGTCCAACCTGCCCTTGAACACTGCCAGGGATGGAGCATTTATCACTTCTCTGGACAACCTGTTCCAATGCCTCACCACCCTCACAGTAAAGAACTCCTTCCTTATTTTGAATTTCTGAGTTCATCTCTGCATATCCTGTGGATCAGTGAGCTTTGGTAGATTTCTTATGGCTTTTATAGAATCACAAATAGAAATTCTTCCCTGCAGTGGGAAACTCGATAAAATAAATAACAAACTAAGATACACCTACAAGAAAAAGGTACTGATTTAAAGATTTTAAAGCCTAATTTCATAGGTAACTGGCTAAAAGAAAATGGCTTAGCTAGAATAGTTAAAAAGGAAGCAAAAGTCAAGAATACCAGTAACATAATTCGAAGTTTTTAATAGGGCAACACCTTGCATAGGACTTCAAGATTTTGGGGTTTGCTTTCTGTATGTCTTACCTAATGTAAACAGAGAAAATAAGTTATTAGTCACTGCAGTTTTGCGCAGAGGTTGACAGGTTTGGAATGAATGAAAAATTATGTGGTGCTTCCACATCATAATGTGGAGTCACTGTTGACATCTGCATGCCCATTAATCTTGATGCCCAATTACCTGTAAATTGGAGACTGACTGCATTTGGCAAGCAGAAACATCTTAAAATGTCTCCACACAAAAATATTCAGCTTTTTTATCTGCATTTGGCCGTCACATTCTGTTTTATAAATCTACTATGCATGTTTACATCTTCCTTTACCTTTTTCTGTGCCACCAAACAGTTCTACTGACAGGATTTCATAAGATGTTTTTCAATTAATGGGGTATGTGTCAGCAAAAACTACATGCAGGCTTTGCAGGTCTTGAGTGACAGGTAAGAAGGTAAGAAATATGATGAAAAGGACATAGAAAATTGATGTTATGATACATACTGCTGTGTGTGGTACACTAATGGCTAGTTATTGATGGGGAGGCAGAACAGAGTTTTTGACAAGTCTCTCCTTTAATAAAGCATATATGACCCTCATGCCAGGTCACAGCTCTTTAAAAATATATCTACATCTATTAGGTATTATGTAGCTGGTTGAAACTGGGTTGAAACTTATTGATAAAATATAATAGAAAGGTGAAATCCCCAGAGAAGGTAAAATGCTCACCTTAAGCATTATTTTTAAGGGCAAACATAAACTGACAAAGCTTGAAAGGAAACCCATGGCGTGATTTGGGCTATGCCTGAATTTGTCTAAAAGCTCTATCCTCTTTGTAACACTAGTCACCATATCCTTCGTGCTGCTGCTCTGGGATAGAATAGGAGTATCTGTCATTCTTTAACACAGTATCTGTACAAGGTTAATGAAGGGGCTCTTGCGATCATTTATACAATCACAACAGGGCTTCATAGGGCTCATTCCCTTATGAACTGCACCTCCAGCATCCTCCTTTACATACAGAAGATGGAAAAGGATTTAGTAAAAACCTTTGTGGAAACTACATAGTAGTGAAAAGTATTGCTTTTGGCAGCAGGAATAATACTTCCAGATATTCTTGAGTGTGTTATTCATTATAGTCTTGAACAGGAGGGAAGTTTTAGATAAAATACTCATAAGGCTAGACTATAACCTTTCAGGATGTAAGATAATATTTGAAGGATAATGCAAAGATAGCTGAAATATCCAGCCACTTTTCTGTGTACTCCTGTAGTATTATTTCAGCTAACAGCTACATTTAGGGCACTTTACAGGCTGTCTGTATCAAAGGGACTGACACATGATTAGTATGTCCTTTCTTTTCCCTTTCTGGCTTGGATGAGGAAAAGAGAGTATTTTTAGTTTTAAAATGACACACAATTTGATGAGTCAGGGACCAAATTCGCTCTCTCTTCCTTGGCTAGTTACTGAGATATAGCCCCAAACACTAAAACATACAGATCTTATGCTCTTGGCAGCTTTGATGCAATGTATCCTAACATCAATTATTTGATTCAGAATATTGTATTAGGAAGAAGCTGGGAACCTTAGAATTTCCTTTCAGTGATAAATATATGCCAGAAATTTACCTAAGCATCATGTTTTGGAGCCCAACAACATATAAAAAAATATCTATTTTCTGAATGGAAAGGACAAGACACTCTCTACCAGCAAACTACATCTTTTCCCACAAGATACAGTCACTCTGTGCATGGGCAAAGAATTAATTTTTAAAGCTAGGAATGTTTTTTGGTAATATTTAATTACAGATTCATTGAAATCAAGCTAAATTAAATACTACAGGGAGGCTGCAGGCTGTGGCTACCTGATGGTTCTAAGTACTCACAGTGCCTCCACAAAAGCTAGTTAAGCATTGAACTGCACTAGATGCTAGTAGTACAAATAGAAATGATTGTATTTTGCTCCTGCAGATAATGCACAAGACAGCATATTCTCTAATGGGATACTTTGTGTGTAATAGAGAAAAATAGAGACTGAGTTTTAGATTTATTTCAAGTAGTGTGTGATTTTTGCAAGGGATACCATAAATGAAGCAGTTTCTTTCACCCAGTCCAAAAATCTGGATGGGGAAACTCTGATATTACACAGAGCTATGTTGGGGGAAGATTTTAATCTCACAATTCAGTCAATACAGCTTTTGTCCCTATCACTAATGCCACCACTAATACCATTACTGTATTGTGCTGTCACACTGCCTGCACTGGTGTGCTTTTAAGGTAAATCCTTTCTATCTAGCTAGCTGTCAGGCAGGCAGCGCAGGCAGCCTCTTTCCTCTGCTCCAGTTACTACAGCAAGCCTTGTCCTGTGGTGCTGAAACCAAGAATATCTTCCCCTTAAAGCAAGAGATTTATTCTGTTATTCATACCACATTTTCATTATTGAGAAAAAAATATGATTCATAAAATATTACCCTATGGCAATATGCAGATTTTAATACTAATGCCATTTTATAAAAAAACACCCCAAACCTTTGAAACAGAAAAGATTAAACTCAAGCATGAATAAATACTAGTATCTGCCCGGAAGCTACCTCTGTGCCATTTGTCTCTCATCTTTTGACATCCCGTGAACATCTCCAGAAAGTTGCAGAACATTTTCTCTTGAGCACATCATGGATATGGATGTGTTCAGTTGTCCTTCAGAAATGTCTAGAGGTCTTGCGATTTCTCACTCACAAGGCTCTAAGCTGGCTGTATTCCACAACCAGGTTTTACACAATAATTAGGCAATCACTCAAATCACTGTTACTCAGTCCTTTTGTCTCAGAAAACATCTCTTCTGTGATACTCTGCCTGTTCCATTGACCAATAGAAAATGTGCATTCAAATTGGTCCTGCTTGTATAAACTATGACTGGGAACACTGTGCAATTCGAGAACTATAAGCCTTAGGTTATTCCTGGGTTATGAAATGTTTCTCAGCATGAAACATGCTTCTATGTTGAGATGTCCAACCCTGTATTTTTAAGTTTCCATTTTATTCTCGGCAATTTTATCTCTGGAAGGCAGCATAACTTCAGCAATTACACATCTCATTTCAGAAATATAGAAACCCATTCCATTTTCCATTTTAATGGTTTACTGGAAACTAGTTCATGGGGAATGAGGAGAGTGATGGTGAATGAATACAAAAAACAGCAAGACCAAATTACTTACCCGTGCTAGGCTGGTTCCAGAAGGGACTTTATATGGGACATACTTCCTGTAGATATGCCCAACTCGAGAGCATGGAACATCAAACATGCCACCTCCACACATCCACACCTGGAAAGCAGTAAGAAGGCAAGTGAAAGAATGATTCCTGGAAATAAATGAGGCAAAAAGGGCATTTTAAGTAATGGGTATGTGAAAATGACACATCATTCTGTACTGACCCCTCTCACAGTGATAGTGGTGGCCTTCTCAGTATGATGATAACTGGGATTAGGTAACATGGCAGACTTTTCTACCTGGAATCTCACTGTGCGAAAGCAGAGTATGTTGAAAATAAAATCATAACATGTATTTAGAATGCCTACCAATAGTCTTCCTGCAATGCAACCAAGATATTATTGTGTCTGTTGTTTTAAAACACCCAGGATGAAAATTTAAAGAAGGCTCTGTGAGTAAAACAGGCCATCAGTCAGAAGTAACCCCCCTGCAAAACCTGGCTTATTTTCTGAATAGTGAATACAGTGCTTAAATATTAAGGTGCTCTTCATTTAGTAAAGATTTTCTTTATTCTTTAGTAAGGACACTCTTCATTTTGTAAAGAAAAAGGGACAAAAATCAATTTACTTCTGATCAAATTTACATAACAGAGGAAGAAGAAAATGCCACTACATTTCATCATTAATACTTTAATACTAAAACAGATGGAACCATTTTAGTGGTGATCTTGGCAGTCCTGGGGCAATGGCTGGACTTGATGATCTTAAAGGTCTTTTCCAACCGAGTTGATTCTATCTGGAGTATACAAGTTTGATGCTACAGGTCTGAGCAACCAAAACTCAGTTGAGCTGCAAGTACTTCATGGCTCTAAAAATTAAGCTGTTTCCTGATAAACAGCAAGTAAGATATTATTCACCTAGCATGGCTAGGCTCTACGAAGTGCATGTGAGAGCAAGGTTTCAGAGGAACTATGGCAATCATGCCAACCTATGGGCATGATTTTCTATGCTCTGGCATTTAGAGACACCAAACTCCAACATGGCTATTAGATGACTTATGTACCTTACTGACAACATTCTTAACTTTTTGATTTCAAAAAAAAAAAACAGGTTGACTTTGCAAATCAGAAAAATGGAAAGCAGCATCAAAACTATCCCTGAAAACCCCCAAGCAGAAACCTTCAAGCATCCTAAAACCAACCACCAAGAGTTAAACATTATTTCAGAGTAAAAACATTGGTATTATAAAAACTATTTCCTAATCCTGGATAAACAATTTCTGCTCCCCAGAAATTTAGAACAAAATAGCTGTTATTTCACATAGGGAACACTTATGGTCTCAGTTTTCAGCCTTTAGACTAAAACCAAAAACATTGTAAACCCCACTCCCAGTTTAAAAGAAAACCACTCCAAAGCTGGGAAAGAGAAAGGGCTTGTCCTGTCCATATCTCTTTAGGTGGACACATACATAGATGCTCATGAAACATTGCCATGAATCTGGATGAGAACTTAGGCCCCTGCATTACATGTATATGCAGGAATTTTAGCTCTGTGCATCTGATGCACTCTGGAGCAAAATGGCATGAAATCAGTTTGTAACTGAGGCTAAAGCAGAGCAGACTGCAGACAACTGAAAGTTTCACCAACAATTTCCATTCAGAAAGGAATTAATCCAAAAGTTGACACACTCTGAATAAAAGCAACAATAACCAGACTCTTAAAAAAAAGGTATCGGAAAATATGATGTGATCACAAGTACTTGGCATTCTACGTGATGCCTGTGGAAAACAATGTGCATCTCTGCACTTTTTTTACCATACAGTTCTTATTCTGTCTCTTTTGTTCTGTCCCCCAGCTGGCTGTAGCTATTGGCTTTTTGAAATCACAGGAAAACAAACCCATAAACTCCATTCATCTAAAACACCAGTGAAAATGGGCAAAAGTTTGGCATCTTTTGCTGTGCTTGCCTGTTTGTGTTACAGTGGGTATATCTGCTTGGTCCTGGCAGTGTGACCTTGGGAGTCAGTTTTAGTAATCTGGACATGTGGATGCTAAATACTGCAATATGGGACAACTTAGTGCGTGAGCATGACTTAAAGCATTTGCTGAAGGTAGCATGCTGCAATTCAGCCCCTGAGACTGACTGTGCTATATATGCTTGGCTTTGTCCTGAAATTCTGCAGACGTCCTTCCACAGCTGGGTACAACTGAGAGCTACTTGGGAAGCTGCTACTTACCACTTCCCATCATACAGTTAGCCAAGGCATAGGAGCTCTGAGTAGGTGCTCAGAAGAGGAGACAAGTTTTGCAGGTTAGTGGCACAGGGTAATAAAAGCAGCCATCCTGGGCATCACTCTGCCAAATGAAAGATGTATGTTGATGGAATCAGAAGTATTTCAGTACCTATTTCTGTGGTTATCCTGAAGTTATCTGTGAAATTATCCTGACCAGTCTCCTAGTGAGCACAGTCCTTCTCAGGACTGGTGGGTTGGAAACAGAGACCTCTGCCTCCATACCAAAATAGCTGATTACTGCCTGGAGCAGTCTAGCAATGCCATGTAGACATGACTATTATTTTCTTTTCAGAAAATATTTTGTAAAATTTACTTCTTAAGGAAAACCTTGAAATCCTCACCCATTTAACCTCATGTCACCTAATTCACTGGAAAACATGTTCATAAACATACTAAAAAACTCATAAAAATTATAGTGTTAAGATAAGCTGGATAATGCCATCATTACAAAAAAATAGTTATTCACCTTTCTGTTAATATTTCATTTCTATGTTACATCACTTGTACCTTTTTTTAGCAGGAACGTCCTCTCTGTAGCTGTCTTCAAACAACCCAGTGCACCAATGGAAGTGGTGATCTATATTTACTATTTGTTCTTGGTTTTTAAACTAAGGTGTTATTTCAAAGGCTAGACAGGGTATTATAGTGATTAATCAAGGTTTCATAGCCTTCAAAGACTGGACAGCGTATGAGTTTGACGCAGACAAAGGTCAGCCATGGAAGTTTAAGAGACAAGAAAGCAGGAATAAATGTATAGGCCAGTATTACTTTAACTCAGACAGTGAGAGATGAAGTAGACATATATTGCATCCCTTCTAAAGCAGTAGGATACCAGTGAAAGAAAAGGGGTGGGGTGGGGTGATGCAGAGAAATACAACTAGATATGCTGAGGCAATCACATGTGGGAGGAAATAACACTTTGTGTTAGGCTTATATCTGATAGACATAAAACTTGAAAATGCTGTGCTGCACCTGAAGTGCACTGTGCAGGGTAATTGAAATGAAACTTGGCTGCCCTGAAGGACATTTAGCAGCTGTTCATGTTCATCTTCCAGCTTCAGAATGATTTTAAAGCATTTTTTTTTGTATTTTTCTGGGAAGAACAATTCTGGCAACTTTGTCTTTAAAATGTGCACTTTTATGTCACAAGCACTAAATGCATAAAATTGGAGAATGATTTCTGTGCTAAATATTACAAACCTCCAGTGTACCATGAAAGGAATTCAGGTGGTGTGGGACATTTGGCAAAATGATATCACAACACTGATGCCTCTCTGTTTATCTAGGAAATGAAACTCTCAAGATCGTTAATGTCTTCTCCTCACAAAAGCAATGAATCTGGTCTGAAGCTGAGGTATAAAAACCAAAGACAAAACCAAACAGTGCAATTTCAGCTTGGAAAGATCAAAAGAAGAGTAGTTTATACGTCAACTATATGCTATATCACAGCGTATCTTTACATACCTCCTTCCAACAGAATGTTGCAAAATCTTTTATAGGGATGGTTGAAAGCAAAAGGCAGGCATTAATGCAAGTCTTAAAAGAGATTAAGCTGTGGTTATGTAGCTTTGTTCCTAACTGGAGCTTAGATGTCACAGATGCATTTTTTTTTTGGCTCTGTTCTACAGCTCTCATGGGAATTTGGGTGAATCACCCTTTTTTCACACCACTGCTTTGTCTTCAAAATTGAATTCTCTTTGCACTTGTAATTTCCTTTTTCTTCTTTTCTTTTCTTTTCTTTTCCTTTTTCTTTTCTTTTTTCTTTTCTTTTCTTTTCTTTTCTTTTCTTTTCTTTTCTTTTCTTTTCTTTTCTTTTCTTTTCTTTTCTTTTCTTTTCTTTTCTTTTCTTTTCTTTTCTTTTCTTTTTTCTTCCCTTTTCTTTTCTTTTCTTTTCTTTTCTTTTCTTTTCTTTTCTTTTCTTTTCTTTCTTTTCTTTTCTTTTCTTTTCTTTTCTCTCTTCTCTTCTCCTCTCTTCTTCTCTTCTCTCTCTCTTTTTTCCTTTCCTTTCCTTTCCTTTCCTTTCCTTTCCTTTCCTTTCCTTTCCTTTCCTTTCCTTTCCTTTCCTTTCCTTTCCTTTCCTTTCCTTTCCCTTTCCCTTTCCCTTTCCCTTTCCCTTTCCCTTTCCCTTTCCATCTTCTTATTCCCCACCCCTCTAGTTTATGAGTGATTCAGCCTGGGGACAATCTGGAAAATGCAAATACTATGCATGCTAGAATGAGACTCCAATCCATATGCTACACTGTACTTGTAATTACTGTAGTAAGAGACTCATGATTTCTAGTCTATTCTAGATGTGTTGCTGTGGAACAGGAACATAAACATACAGCAAATTATGTAAAAGATTGAGGGAAGACTGAATAGATTTTGGATCAGGCTTCAAAGTAATTGAGAAATATACTGCTTCTGAGAGTCAGTAACAAGACAGACAACAGTGAGAGACACCGAAATGGATGGATAAAACAAACAGTAAACTGCTGGAAGAGGAACATAAAGTATGTCGTGGAAAGCTGTTAGCTTGGTGCTCTCTGCATTGTGCAAGAGGGATGGACTACAAATAGGAGAGATGTATTATCATAATGGGGCTGAAAAAGTTGTAGAAAATAAGAGTATGAAAACTACATCTGATTTTTCAGTCGCTATTCCTGAAATATAAGCCAAAAGAACAGATTTAGCAGTTGTAAAAGAGGAGAAAGAATTCTATCCTGACAATTTTTTCCATGTAGTGAGGATGTTCAGCTAAATGCAAGAAAAAAATTGAAAAATAGGATCACTGACTGCAAATCTGGAGTCAATGGGTTCACAAACAGGAAAACCATTTGTG